TCAGGAACATCAATGTTAAATCCTTCAGAAAGGCGTAAGACATATTCGTCTAAACGAGGAGTGCGAGCCATAACACATAGGTCAGCTGTTCTAATTACGAATGGGAATTCGGGAATATTCAAGATAAATTTGATAATTTTGTTTTGCACACGCTGAAACAGAAGCTTGCGCGAGTCTGAAACACAATCCCACCGGGGACCCGTACGTGAGCACGGGTTGGATGCACATGCGGTACAAGACCAACCTGATGTTAGAGTGCAGGTTCGAAGATCTCGCGATGTGTGGCTTAAGGACTCCGAAAGCCTTCCAGGTTTTGGCTATACGGTCGTCAATGGCCGGGATCCAGTTGAGTCTATTATCAAATATGACTGCAAGGTATTTCACCGAATTGGATCACTCAATCGAGATGCCGTTCACCTTAACACGTTGAACGCCCAGCGTAAATCGGTGGAGTTTCTCCCAGGGCCCAAATCCGGGAGTGTAAAGAGCGCAGTAAGGAAAAGCGATACAATGCAACGCGTCATTTAACACTAGAAAGACTGAAACTTTGATTCATTTTGACTGCTTTGGGGCAATATAGGTATAACACATATATATATACCGGAAATGAAGGAGGGGGGAGATAACTACAATTATTAATAAACGCACTTATATGTTGTACAAAAAGTCACAAAATTCTAAGAAGCAGTGTCATTCTATACACAATTGTTTTTCTAATTGAAATTGAAAAGCAGTCAAAATGACTGCCTTAGGCAATCTACTGTTAAATGTAACCACAGTTTATTTTGTAATGTATGAAAGGATGTTTTTTGGAAGATAGGTTTTTGGTAGGTATTTTTGTTTTTAGAAGATATTTTTTATAAAGAGTTTTAGAAGATAATTTTGTGGAAGATGCATACAAAGTATAAAGGGCCTCGAAGTGGGGAATGTGGCAAGCGTTCCGCGAAAACAATCGCGAAAGCGATTATGCGTTGGGCGATTCTAGTAATCTGGTGTAAGGTGGAATGTGACTTCCTGAAACCGAACTGTTGGTCAATGAGAATTTTTTGTTCTTTTAAATGACTATTGATTGATCGGGAGATGATTATCTCAACCGTCTTCCCGAGAATAGGGAGAGGCTGATGGGCCTGTAGCTCGAAGCCTGGTCGGCAGGCTTGCCAGGCTTGTGGATGGGGACGACCTTCGTCTGTTTCCAGTCGACAGGGAAATAGGAGTTAATCAGACAGAACTGGAAAATGTAGAAGATCTGTACTATGAGTTTTTTGGAGGCGTGTTTATGCATAACAGCAGAAACTCCATCCTTCCCAAGAGCTTTAGAATTTTCAAAGCCTGAGATAATATCAGAGGCAGCCCTCGGCGTTAGATCAACCCATGATGTTGGGGAGGGGGTTCGGTTCCTGGAGAACTCCATGATGAAGTTGTCGACCGTTGATTGAAGGGGAGAGCTAGCAGCGCTAGCCTCGATGTAGACTGACTCAAACTGGTCCGCGAGAATCTCAGTTTTTTCAGGCGCACTAGAAATAAGCTGGCCACCCCTACTCAAGACAGGAAGCGGAGTACTTGTAAATTTACCGGCAAGAAATTTATAGACTGGCCAAAAGGTAGGGTTGTAGATTTACCGGCAAGAATTTTGTAGACTGGCCAAAAAGTGGGGTTCGGTTTTTTGAAGGAGCTGAGTTTATTAATCCAGTCCTTGTGTGTAAGATATGAAATTTGTCTTTTGATGGAAGCAGTGAGGTCGCGAACAAACCGATGTAAAAAGGAGGATCCAAAACGCTGGGCGTGCTTTCTAAGATGCCTCCTTTTCCTGATGAATGAGAGGAGATAAGGATCATTTTGAAGTAACACGTGTCGAGTGCGAGATGTGTCAATTTTCAGGGTGACTATGCTCCGGAACATGCTCCGGATAACATCATCGATATCCCGCGGACCAGCGAAGGCAGAACGCATATTAAAGTTGCCCGTCAGAGATCGATACTTCTCCCAATCAATCTCGACATCAATCCCACGGGAGGGGCTCTCCGTAGATGCAGCAAGGGCCACTGGAGAGTGGTCAGAGGGACCCGGGTCACGGGTGTCACATATGAATGAAAGGTCCGAGTCTACCAGAAAGATGTCTAAGGTAGAGGGGTTCACACCAGGGGCCGACCTGTTGAAATGGTTTGGGAAAATCACGTCATAGTTGTTGTTGGAGAAGTGCTGATATAATATCTTCCAGCTGGGGTTGGCCCTGGAATTGTTACAATGGCGGTGCCTTCCCGCTGGGGTTGGCCCTGGAATTGTTCCAATGGGGGTGTTTGGCATTAAAGTCCCCACCGATGACAAATGGAGAACCAATACTGGTCAGATTTTCCAAATGGGACGAAGAGAGAGTGGTGGAGGGTGGGACGTAGGCCACCACCACATAGAATTTTGGATGCCTCAGTTTAACAGCGCAGAACTCGTCAATTCTACCCGTCAACTCTATTCATGTTGATCACGGAGTGAGCGAGATTTTTATTAAGCAGAGAAGAAGAATAGCAACCCCGCCTCCAGTGCCAGAGATTCTATCCTGTCTAACCATGGAAAAGCCTGGGATGCTGACGACATCAGTGGGAAACAGAAAGGTTTCTGTAATCAGCACAATATCAGGTTGTTCCTTCGAGACGAGAAGGAGAAGCTCATTTCTGTTCCGTTTGAAGGACCTGATATTCCAAAGAAGAATGTTGGGGAAGAAAGCCATAGATTTTATTTTAAGCTATCAAGAACTGAGATAAAGACTTGAAACTTTTGTGCATCAGAATTACAG